TCATTTAAATCTAATAAAGAAAGATCATTTCTAATATTTTCTAACCAATTTTTTTTTAGGTCTACCTCTACCTTTTTTAACATAAATCGAATCTAATACCTGAACTTTCCTAACCGGGTCATCAGAAGACCTCCTTTTAATGTGACCAAACCATCTAAGGCGGCTCTCTCTAATCTTATCTTCCACTGGAGCTACTCCAACCTTTTCATGTATATGCTCATTTCGTATCCTATCTCTAAGGGTCAAGCCACTCATCCACCTAAGCATCCTCATCTCTGCAACACTTAACTTAGTATTATGCTTCATTCGGCACCATAAAGCATTGCAGGTCTCACCACCATCTTATAGAATTTTCCCTTAAGTTTGAGGGGGACTTTTCTATCACACAATAAGCCCGATGCATTCCTCCACTTCAACCATACAATTTGAGTTCTGCTGATAATATCCCCATCTTCACCATCACTCAGAACAATAGAACCAATATATCTAAAACGTGTACTCTTATTAATGACTTGATCGCCCAAAGTCATAATTCCCTCACTAGGTCTATTGCTACTAAAATTACACTCCATATATTCAGTTTTAGATTTACTCAAGAGAAAACCTTTAGACAAAAATAAATGATATGTAAAAAAAATTAAAATTTTGGAGGGGGCATGTGCACCTCCCCCCCTCCCTCAATAAGTTTTGATCACCCTCGATACGGACGGCTTCCCGTACATGCAGTGATTGAGTCATAAATTTTTCCTCATGGGGGCATAAATTGACTAATTTAAAACTAGTATCAATATTTTTCAAGAGATATTTATAACTGTAAACCCTAAAATTTTTAGGGGAGCATAAATTAATTTTTTTGTTAAATTATATTTTCAGAAGAAAAAATACTTGATATATACATAAGAAACGTACCTTCACCAAACAGAGCCTGTATGTCACCTTGCATGCAAGAGGCTTCTATGTTAGCTGTGATTTCTTGATCTTTGCTACAAAAGACTGGCAGCTGAAGCTGAACACAGAGCCCTCCACTGCATATTTTGAAAAAAAGTGTGGGTGGGATTAATTGGCTTTGGCAAATTAACACACTTTTGGGGCTCTTGTGATTGTTTTGTTGGAGTGAATAAGATTTTACTTTGTGGAAAATCGATAATATTTTGCGCATGCAAACTAATGCTTGAGTTTTGCTCTCATGGTTTATACTTTAACAACTAGCTTGAGGTCCAACAAATTACTTGTAGGCTTTATGCAATCATTCATTTCTTTTAACTATGGTGTAGTTTGTGGAGTCTGAATGGTCTTTTTCAGTCCATTTGGTTATGTTTTGATTATATTATCCCTTTTTGGTTTTATTAACAGGATATGTTCACATAGGCACTTGTAGAGTCTCTCCAGACCACAGGTTCGTTGCATATACTTTGGACACCTTTGGGAGTGAAATGTTTACGCTTCATGTCAAAGACCTTCAAACTGGACAAATCACTTCAGATCCAAAAAGGAAGGGAGTTGTTAGCTTGGCTTGGGCTGGTGACAGCAGTTGTTTGTTATATACAGTTTGCAATGAAAAACAGCGACCTTACAGGTGCATCTTCATTAGTTGCTATTCTTTGATTAATCTGTTGGTTTTTTACCTCTAGTTTTCTTGTGTGACCTACTAGCTTATCTTTGGCAGAGTCTTCTCTACAAACTTAGTGTCAGATATGGTAGATGATCTGCTTTTTACCGAGAATGATTTAACTTGCTGCGTTGACATTGCAAGCACAAAAGATGGAAAATATATCACAATAAATTCGAATTCAAAGTCATCATCTGAGGAAGGTCATGTTTCAGTTTGTTTTTGTATTAAATTTAATTGCTCATAATTTTAGTTCTTGAAATCTCTTTCTTTGCTGTATCTATCTGAAGTTCAGTTTTTTTTACAGGTATATGTGATTGATGCAATGAACTTAAAAGATGGAATTTGGCCTGTTCGAATGCGCATTCCTTTTGTGCAATACTTCCTGGAACACCATCATGGTTACTTTTATATCCTTACAAATGCTCCTTCAGAAGAAATGGCATCAGCTGCAAGTGGCTATTATTTAGCTAGATGTCAAGCTGTCAAGTCATTGCTGATCAATTGGCAGGTAAAAGTTCTTCAAGCTAGCTTGTAGTTTACAGGCCGTAAAGTTCACAAATCTGAAGATACTAATGTTTGCTATTATGGTTGTTACATCGTTAGTATTAGTATTAAGAGGTTCATTGCAATAGTTAAGTTCATCAAATATTGATTGATATTTACTAATTTACGACCTGAGAAATGCCTTTATCATCTATGTTGATATGTATTTTTGGTTGTTGAGAATGAAATAAAATCATTTCGCTGATTGGTGAACTATTTAAGAATAATCCTATTTTAAATGCAATATAAGATAAATCCTTTTTCTTCGGGGTTTTTTTTTTTTTCTGTTGCCATTGCCTTTCATGTTTCTCTTTCTCTTACGTTTCCTTTTGTTGTCCTGCATTTTGCTGTTTTCTTCTTGAATATTCCTTTCCAGGAGTTATTTGCTCTTTTCGTTTGCTGTTGCTTTTTTTCTAGTTGTCACAACTTGATGTAAGCAAAGCCCACCTACTTTTCCCGGTTCTTCTGGATGACTGTTCGGCTTTTGCTCCTGCTCCTTGGCTTTTCAGTTTCCTTGCCTGCTGGGCTGTCCGGTTCCTCTGCCTGTCCCGATTCATCCCCCTGGCGCCTGTTCCGTTCGCTGGCTGTTCCTGTTTCCCGCGTGCCACCCCATTTGTATATTTCTTCTAAAGCTTTTGAAGGTGTTGATTGGGCAGTTTGTTAGCATTTACTGGAAGAGTTTGTGTGTGAGAAAATATTTGGAATGTAAACCTGCGGATTTTCACTAGCTTGCGAGCTAGCTTCTTTTCCCTTCCCCTCTTTGAATTCGTCTCGGGCTTCTTATCTATTTCTTCTCTCCGCAAGTTGCCACCCCATTTGTATCCTTCTTCTCTAAAAATATAAAAGTTGTGTTGAGTCATTGTAAGGTGTTCTATTATAAGTTGTAAGGTGTCGTTGCGTGTGTTGTCCTTTTTATTTGTTATTGTAAGGTTTTGTGTCTTATTTAGGCTGTTAATTATTGGAACGGTCTGTGAATTGAACTGCTACTATTCTTCTATATTATTCATGGCAGTTTGGTGAACTTGTGCATTATTTCTAGGTGCAATTTTTTGACAAAGGACCAAAATGTTAAGAGTTTGTGGCCCAGATTATTATTTTTTCTCTTTGGTTCCTTACTAACACATTTTAATCTTACTGCACAATTCTTTCTTCTATTCCTTTTTTTTTGTGGCACAAGTTTATTCGTCTGCTGTGACTAATTGCTTGTTATGTGCCTCTTACTTGAAGGTTATCATTGAGCCAGATCAAGATATGTTATTTCAAGACTTCGATATATCTAATGAATATTTGGTGCTTTCTGTCATGACGGAGGGGCTTCCATTGTTTTGTTCCATAGAGATGTATAAGGTGGTAAATCACAAGGTATTGATTAATTTAGTTGGCTCATATTTTTTCTGTGTGGTGCCTCAATATGAAATACCATTGCTGTTATTTCATTACAGTTCCATATGAATCCTACCAACTTTGCAAGTTTTGTTGAGTGACAAGGTCTTTTTTCATCTCTTCTGTCTTGTTTCATGGTCTGTGACCCAAAATAGTTGGATATGGCTAATAATGATCATAATGATCTAGTTTGCTGGCTAGAGGTCATTATATGTTTTAATTTCTTTAGAGTCTCTAGTTTAAATTCAAATTAATGAAAAACTGAATAATATACAGATTTGAATCAGAAGAGTATTTGATACAGTTCCTAGCAAAGAAATTGGAAATTTCTATGAATACTAAGCACTATTTGATTACTAACTGACTGGTTTGGCCTGCAATTCTCCGGCCTCTCTGGGATGCGTCATTGTAAATGAGCTTTCAATAACCTGCAATCTTCAACTTTCTTGTCTACTACCCTATTAAAACATTGACAGTTACGTGATAGTTGCTAAAGGACCAATTACTGATACCATATGGTGTTTATATATTTTTTCAAGTAATTGTTTTCTTTAAAACAATGTTTTAATTTACCTTCATTATATTTATTATCTTTCTCTCGTCATCACTGTTATAATCATATTTGTTATTCTCATCATTTGTTCAGAGTGATGGTGAAATAGATGGGGATATTATCAGCAGAATTCAAGTTGGATGGTTGAAGTGGAGGAATGCATCGGGCTTGTTATGTGATAGAAATGTACCCCTCAAACTTAAGGGAAAATTCTATAAGATGGTAGTGAGGCCTGCAATGCTTTATGGTGCCGAATGTTGGCCTTTAAAAGAGAAGCATAATACTAAGTTAAGTGTGGCAGAGATGAGGATGCTCAGGTGGATGAGTGGCTTTACCCTTAGAGATAGGATACGAAATGAGCATATACGTGAAAAGGTTGGAGTAGCTCCAGTAGAAGATAAGATTAGAGAAAGTCGCCTTAGATGGTTTGGTCACATAAAACGGCGGCCTTGCGATGACCCGGTTAGGAGAGTAGAGGTATTAGATTTGACTTATGTTAAGAAAGGTAGGGGTAGACCTAAAAAGACTTGGTTAGAAAATATTAGGAATGACCTTTCTTTATTAGATTTAAACGAGAATTTGACTTTTAATAGGACACAATGGAGAAAAAGGATTCATGTAGCCGACCCCACGTAGTGGGATAAAGGCTTGATGTTGTTGTTGTTGTTGTTGTTATTCTCATCATTTGGAGTTTTCTTTCTCCCTACATGACAAACTATTCTGTTGTGCATTTTTCTTTCTCAGGCAATTAACAAGTAAATACATTTAACAACTTAGAGCCCATTTTCTCTATGTATGGCCCTGTTTTTTCCTATCAAAATGGACTTTAGAATGAATGTCCTTAGCAACAAATTAATGATGACTAACCTATTTTCTTTCCCAGGGCAAGCCAATGAAATTTGATGACCTCAAGCCATGGTTTTTCCCACTGCCCTCTAGCTCATACAGTATTGTGCCAGGCTCAAATCTTGATTTCATGTCTTCGGTTTACCGTCTAGTGATTTCATCTCCAGTGGTAATGCTATAACTCTTTTTTTTATTTGTGCTATTACTTTTGTTAAAAACAGTGTAATAACAATAATAAAACTATATTATGATGCTGTAACATTTTCTTACAATAATTTCAAACGCAATGGATTTTGTTCAGTTTGCTTTTGACCTATAGGGAATAAATAATTCAATAGAATAACCATAAGCGTATTGTCGGGCTCTGCCCTGAGTTAGCACATCAAAATTTCTTGAAAATGAAACGACTAGTAGGGTTTATGATTGATAAGTATAGGTCTTGTTTTATGTCAGATTCTTCTCAAAACTTCTAGAAGTTATCATGGTTTGATTTGTTTGTCTTAAGCCTTTCGTGATACTTGGCCTGATGATCCATATCTGTATTCACTTAACTCGTAGCTGTTGTTTATGTTTATCACCACTAACTACTCGGTTGAGTCTTATTGCCTTTGATCTCCAAAGTGGGGTCTAAGGTTCAAATGTCTGGAGAAAAAAATTATAGATATATACGTTTGTTGAATTGGGTCATTATATGTGATTTTCGCCCTCTAAAACTTGTTCCCTACAAACTATGTTAGTCTTTACTCTTTATTATCACAAAAATATATCTCATTATTTTGTAAATTCATCATACTCATTAATATGGAAGCGTGTATAATTTACATCGTCAAAATAATCCACGAAATATGTCATACTTTCATAAAAAATTATACATATAAAAAATCTTTAATTCATATCTTATGCATTCTTTTTTATTTTACATTTCCGAAACTGTACATCTATTCATAATACTAGAGTGCAGGATAAGTTGGATTACCAGTATATGATCCCACATGCTCTTTTTCTTTTTCTAAGAAATAAGCATCATAATATTTGATGAGTTAAACACATAGCTAGATAAATAATTCTAACATAAGGTTCAAACATACAAAAAAAAAGAAAGAAAAAATAGCATGCTGATTTTTTGAGCTAAAATGAGCATTTTTTATTATAGATATAGATAATTTTTTTGCAGTAATAAATTTTAAAGAAAAACTTGCTTTAATATTTAAATAAATAAAAGACTTAATTTTAAGCAATAAGCATGAGTAATTATACGAATATTGAATGCATATGACAAGTTTTAAATCATAAAGTGCAGTTTATTCACCTAACTTTATTTTTCGTTTGCTTGTACCATTTTCAGTTTTGTTTTCTTTTCATTAATTTCTTAGAAATATCATATAATGTATATTAGGCTTTTTGCACATTTATATCATTGGTCGTCACCTAGCTGTTGGAGAAATTATATCATCCTTAACGGATTAGGATATTTTGTGATTGAGCATGACATATAAATAATATATTATCCCGAAGGAAAAATATTATTTCGCTATGGACTCAATAACAAAACTCACAATTTATATTTTAAGCTGAGATTTTTTCCTATTCAATATTTGGTTGAATATGATTTATTTTATTATGGGGTACGAATGCCTCATAAGGGTAAGCCCTTATGATTAGTTACATCCAATAGCGGATTGAGAAAGAGGGAGGGGGGAATTCCTTTAAAATTTTATAATTATGATTTATTTTTATCCCCCCTTAGATATGGCCACCTGCAAAAAAGAGCATATATCTCTATCCTAACCACTTAAGGGCAAGTGTTCACAACTTAGATAATTCAAAACATCACACAAAACATCAACCATATGCGTAGAAAAAAAATCCTAATTCTAGCATGCCTATGAGCTATGCACCTAATTGTGTGTCAGTTGTGTGGTATGTCCCACTATAAGTTATAACTTATTTTATTTTGGAATAAAGATGTTTAATTTTAATTCAGAGGTGGTTTCACTTTAAGTTGTTTCTAACTTAAAGTTTTTATTTGATTTTTAATTATTTTATATTTAGGAGGGTAATGAAGAACTCATAAAACAATCACCACTTGTTTTGAGGCAAGCCTATTACTTATGGAATTCTATAATCCAATGATATAAGCATTCCACATTTTATGGTGGAATGATTAACCATTGTATCGAAAGATTTCTAAGCAATTTTTAAGTATTTTTAAAAATTATCTAAGTGTTTGGATAAAAAAGAAATGTCCACTCAAGGTTTAAAAAGGCAAAATCAAGAATCGAGGCGTTTTACCTTTTAGCAAGGTGAGGTGTAAGCCATGAGGCGGATCAAGGAGTAAGCCTCAAAACAGGAAAAAGAAAAAAGAAAAAAAATATATGAACTTACAAATAATTCATAAAAATGATAATAATAAAATAAAACATTGACATATTTATTTGATTTGTCATTATAAAGATATAAACTATAAATCTCAATATTATTATGAAATAAAAATTTGAAATGAAATTCAAAGTAAACACTCATTTAAAACTTAAATATATCATAAAGATTAGAATCCACGGTGGCTTTATTCTTACTTTCATATTCTTCATAATAGCCCTCGTATGTAATAATTATATCATCCTCGAATTCTGATTCATTATCATCTTCTAAACATTCTTCAATTATAACATTTTTTTTAACTCCTCTTATTAATTAACATTAGATTCAATGTAATATAAAACAAAGCAACATATTAATAACACAACAAAGTAATCCATTATATTTTAATCAGTGTTTGTTATTTTTTAAAAAAAGATTGAACTCCATTTTGCTATTTTTTTATAAATTGCTTATGTAGTAGAAGCTATTATCAATTCACTAATCATTTTAATATTTGCATTAATATTTTTATTCTTCTCATCATCAAACGCATTCCTTTATTTTCAATTTTAAATATTTTACTATTTTTTGCTATTATTCATTCATTAATAAAAAACATATCATTAACAACCAATGGATTTATTTCATTATCACCAATCATTCGAATCTATAATTTGAAGTGTTTATCTTTCAAAATTTTTTTAAACATAACATAATCATTCAACATTGTTCATTCTTCCTATAGTTAATTGGTTCCTTCTCTTTATATAATAGAATAAAGTAAATATATTATTAACTCTAGAGGCCTGCTTATTGATTATTTTTTTCCCTTTGAGAAGTGCAGATCCCTGATCTTGTGGTTGACTATGATATGAAAAGGCGTGACTTCACTGTATTGCATCAAGAGGAGGTATTGGGGTTGATTAAGCATAAAAATTCTTCTTCGGAATTACATCATATTTCTGGCAATCAAACTCTTAATAAGCAGCATTTGTACATGGTAAAAGACATGCCGAAGTGGGATGATCTTTCTGAGGATTTCTCTTGTGAAAAGAGGGATGTCATTTCACATGATGGCGTGAGAGTCCCACTAACAATAGTCTACTCTAGGAGAGCAGAGCATATTGGTCAATCTCCTGGTATTTTACATGGATATGGAGCTTATGGAGAAGTACTGGACAAAAGTTTTTCTTCTGACGACATAACCCTACTTTCTCGTGGTTGGGTTATTGCGTATGCTGATGTCAGGTAACATTGATTCTCATTGGCAGCCCCACTCCCACTTCTTTCCATCATCTCTTACGTGCAAAGGTTTAATGATTCAAAAACACACTCAGACTCACGAACTTACAAGCCCTTTTGTTGATATGCACCCAGTGATGCTTCTAAATAAATTTGTACAGGTTATTCTAAACTTTTGTTATTTATGAATGATTTTTCTTCTTGTTGTCTCACTTTTAAGTTTGTAATTGTAGAAAACTCATATGGGTAAATCTTCTAGAATTCTTTTAGTTTATGATTTCGCTTTGACATGCATCATGCCTTATATTTTGTAATCTTGTTAATGTAATACAATTAAGGTTAAGGAGAAGATATTTGGACTAGAATAATACTTAGTGTCATCTAGTTGGTTCATCGTTTCTAGTCATGGCTTAGATAGTTACAATATTGTTTTGGCATGCTTCCTCAACCAACAACATAATCTTCTGGTATTTCTGTTATTCCGTATATCTATCTATGTAGACCTTATGAACCTGTATTGATTTGATCTAAGCCATATAAATCTTGTAGGGGCGGAGGGGATTTGGGTTGGCATAAGTCTGGAGCCAGACATTGTAAACTAAATTCTGTTTATGATTTTGCTGCGTGTGCAATGTTTCTTATAAATGAAGGCTATGTTCATAAAAATCAGCTTGGTGCAATTGGCTGTAGTGCTGGTGGCCTTCTTGTTGGTGCAACCATCAATATGTTTCCTGATTTGTTCTCTGCTGCAATATTAAAGGTAATGAAGGTTTTAGAGTTAACTAACATAGTATTGTTAATGAGTTTCTTATGGTTCATTCTTCCGTTTCCGCATGATTATGCTGCATGACATCAGTTTCTAGGATATTCTTTACAGAGCATCAGAGGATCTAAATCAGGCAGATAATTTTTTCCAATAATTTATTTTCATGTCATGATTATTCGTAGGGCTGCAAACGAACCGAGCCAAGCCGAGTATGTGAGTGTTCATGTTTGTGTTCATTTAATATCAGCTTGTTCAAGTTTGATTCATGTTTGCTTGAGCTTTAGCATTTGTGTTTATGTTTGGTTCATTTAAATTAAGGAGTGTTCATGTTCAGTTCATGTTTGTTCGTTTAGTGTTTATCGAGCTTGTTCGCGAACATATTTAACGAATTTTTTTAATTATCAAACAAACATGTTCATGAACATATCTATGAACAAACACATTTATAATAAAAGCAATTGTCTTTGTAACAAAGGTAATTATTATTTATATTTTTTAGTTCTATAGTCAAATATTAATTATTTTTATCAATCTTATTCACGAGTTCAAAATCGAGCATGAATCTAGCTTCTTATCGAGCTTAATGTCGAGCTTGTTCATGAACTTCAAATGATATTGTTCGCGAACATAAATGAGTCGAACATATTAGTGTTTAAGTTTGTTTATTTAAGAATCGAGTATTTAAAATATTGTTCAAGTTTGTCTGTTTAGTTAATTAAACGATCGCAAATGAGCTTTAATCGAACTGAACAACGAGTAGCTCGCCGAATGTTTGGTTCGCTTGCAGCCCTAATTATTCGACCTGTTTTACATTGATTGTCGACTTCCTAACACAATCATATATTTTTCTCATCCAGAACTTGAAACCTGACAACAACAATGTTTAAGTGAAGTGCATTAAGAATAAAGATAAAAAAAATGCTTTTATTAGAAGAGGATGTTCAATAAATGTTGATGAGATATTTTGATAAGCTTTTCAATGAATATTGTTAGAATATGATTTTCTTTAGTGAGCTTAGCACCCTTGATGAGAATAGAGATTTTGTTTTTATTGATATATTAATAAAACCAAAGTTAGAGAGTGTTTAAAGAAAATGAAGCGTGGAAAAGATATTAGACTTAATTATATTCTAGTAGAGGCGTGGAAATGCTTAGGAATGTTGAAGAAATTTTCTCATCCTCAATAGATTTACATATTTTGTGATCGAGCATGACATAATAAAGATGATATATTATCCCGAAGAACAAAAATATCATTTCTTTATGGAATCAATAATAAAATTTACAATTTTAACAGAGATTCCTCCATTCAATATTTGGTTGAATAGGGTTTATTTTATTATCATATTATGTGATATGAATGTCCCATAGGGGTAAGCCCATATGGTTAATTACTTCTATAGCATTTGGTACTTGAGAAAATTTTTGATTAGACTAGTGGTTTACTTCTTTTGTAAATCAAGACAATGACTAAAAGTTTTCATTTTAAAATTCATGAAATTCTTTTTTCTTTTGTCTTTAGGAAATTCATGGATGAAAGGGATCAACTTTGATTTGAATTCTTGGAATGAGAGCCAAGGGGAGGAAGAGTAAGAGTACTTGATTATGAGAAAAAAAATTTAGAGGTACTCAAAACTATCCTATATTGAGTTTTATATTTTAGGATCTAATTTTTGTTGAAGTTGATAATTTTAATTTAGAATGTTGGGGCTTATATTCCAACAACACATGTTGAAGAAAATGCTTGGAAGGTAAGGGTTTATGAAGTGATTGAAATCAACGTTTGCCTCGGACAATAGAATTAAGGTGAGGACTACTGAGGGGTGGTACTCGAATCTAAGTCTAATTGAGTGTAAGAGACTTACAAACTACACCTCACATGAGACATAGCCAGCACAACCTCTAGATTTATTGCCTTGCCCGGAAAGGGCTACTAGCTAATTCATCTAGTCGCTTTTAAAACTATAACATGCAGTCTCAATGCATGTGAAGAGTAGGGAGACTATTTTATTTAGAGGATAGAGCTTATAGTTTGGCTTTTAGGCCAAGATGCTTAACTATGTGGGTTATGTAGAATGCTGACTCACAAATATAGATTTTTAGTTATATGATCCTTAAGTGAAAACTTTTATACATGTGACACGCTGAGCTATGCATGATTAATTTAAATTTTAAAAAATTTGGTTCCTTAAAGAGTGCCATGCAATTTTTCTTATACTTGGAAATCATAGAACTTAAAGTTGATTTTAGATTGCTTACATTTTTAATGAGTAGAAAAATTAGTTTTATCCTAAGAGCCTACCACATTAATATGCCCAGACCACCCCCAAGCAAAGGCAAAAAAGAAACCCAAGAAAAACATGCATTTTGTATTACGCAATCAGGTAAACAAATCAATACATGCTTGGTATATAAATAGACCAAGGTAGAAATGTAAATTATAGAGTTCAAGTTATTACAACAAAGTTTGGAAGCTGAGTTGCCTACAATTATAAAATACAGTTAAATTATTATATACTCTACTTGTGGGGGTTTTCAAGTGTTGGCTTCTAAATGGACCTTGGGCTTCACCTTTAGTAGGCGCATCCCCTTGATCCACCTCTTTTAACTGAATTCTGCAAGTTTAACATACAACTTAAATCTAAACAAATACATTTGAAAAATGAAAAGACTCAAACATTCAAATTAGACAGTTAGACAGCAGTTTTGATGCAAGCAAAAATTAGGAAAACCCCTAATTTTTGCAAGCAAAAGAAAAGACTTCATAGGATATAGAAAATACATAGAATACTCAAAAATACACTTTATAGCATAAAAGGATGCTTACAACTTTAAATCGAAAGACACATCATAACTTTAACAACTTGAAATGACACTTACAAACTTATATAATAAAAACCTAAAATTGCATTTCATCCGTCGCTTTGAGAAGAAGGATACAAGTAGCATCGAACTTGCGGAGAGAAGAAGGTGATAAGAAGCCGAGACAAAAAAGAGGACAAGTTCGCAAGCTTTCCTAGAGGAAGACGAAGAGAAGTGGAACAAGCTCTCAAGCTTTTCCAAGAAAGAAGAAAAACCCTCAAGTTTTTGCTCCAAAAATTGTTTCATAACTCTCTCTTTAAATTCTCAAAACTCCTTATATTTATAGGAGAAAAGGGGCAGCCAAACAGCCCATAAATAACCCTAATTAATTCCATCAGGTAAAGGAAATAGAAGGCCAAACATTCAGTCCAGAACAGCACCCAAACAGTCACACAGAAAACCCAAAAGGGCAGCCAAGGGGGAACCGAAACAGCAGCCAAAGTGAGCCAGAACAACACTTGAAAAAACCACACAGAAAGCCGGGTAAAGCAGCCACGCGACAAGCATCCAAGGAAGAAACCGAAGGGGCAACACAGGGATCAGAACTAGCCTGGAGAACCGGAACAGCACCAGGAAGGAAAAATCGAGGAGACACAAGGAAGGGAAAAGGAACCAGGGGAGGAAATCAAAGGGCCACAGAGAGAGGGGGGGGGGGGGGGG